AATGGCCCGTAATAGTAAGTATATAGCTTGGCGAATAGGTAGGTAGCCTAGGTAGGTATGCACGGGTATTACTTACATAATCAATCAGAGTTCAGTATAAAAATTGTTTGCATGCCAGCACAAATGTGTCGCAAGCCGAGACCATTACTTTAAGCTCTGAACAAACAGGATATAATACAGGGGGACATGGACAGACAAACAAATATCGCAGCAGACATGCAGCCATCAATCAATCCATCAAGCAAACAAACAATCATTTCTGTTAAGTGCAGCAATATATATTTTTCGTTGCATACTTTTGGGGCTGCGCATAAAAAAGCGGTTCTCGTTCGTTACACTTTTGTTTTACATTTAAAACAACTTAAAAAAAAAAAGGAAATGCCGCGCGACGCGATAATAGTGGCAACAACAAGAACAAGAACTGTCGCCGCTTAATACTATTATTTTTATTATTAACGCTTCCACACGCAATTCGATTAGACAGACGCGTTAACCGTACGCGGCGCCTTCCAAACGCCAACTGAACTTATCAGTCACTCAACTGAGCGCGTGGCCGCCTCTCGCTATGTGTGTGTATGTGTGTGTGGATGCATTTGTGTATGTGTGCGTGCCTTTGGGGGTGTTGCGACGACTACTGAGTTGGCCATACAACATGTTGGATCACACAAACACACACACACACTCATACACACAAAGCACTGTTGCCGCCTTCACATTTTGCTTTTCCTGCCGACTTCCTTCCGCAACGCTTGCGCGCCATATCTAACCTCAAAAGGGGCAACAACAACAACAACAGCAACAATAGCAACAGCAATAACAACAACTTGAACTGAAATGGGCAGTGCATGGCAAATCGTGGATTGCAAGTCAAAGTGATTGTGTTGTGTATGTGTGTTCGTACATTTCTGTGTAAGTGTGTGTGTGTGATTTTAATAGCTTCACCCACACACACACACACACACGCAAGTGTGCCATTTTGATTGTTATTGTGTGTGTGCAGGGGCGTAGCAAAAGGGGCAAAAGCTGAGAAGTTAATTTTTAATTAATTCTGATATTCATTTTAAAATACAGACAAACATACTGACCAAATATTGTTATTGTTTTAATTTTTATCAGGGACCACAAATAATGATTATTTTGTTGTTTTTTTTTAAGCGAAAAAATCATTCACTTAAAGTAACTTTGAGAAAACGTGGAATTTACCAATATCGTTTTTATAGGATTATCTACGTATTTCCACCATGATTTAAAAATTTTATTTTTATTCATTTTCTCAAAATTCACTGATTAATTTTGAGTTTTACTTTACAACTTAACTAATAATCATAATTTTTTGATCAAATAAATAAAACTCATCAAATAAGGGTTATTCTTTGAGTTTTATATTTTTTTTTAATCAAACGTGGACCCCACCAATTTATAAGCTTACATATTCTGGACCTAGCAAGACCAATCCAAATCCAGACATGTTTGTCTGATCATCTGTCTGTCAGTATGAACGCAAGTCTCTCCGAAAGTACAAGTACTAGAGTCACCAAACTTGAGGGGACAATGAATTTTGGGCTTACTACACGAAGATATATTGATTGCTCCCCCCTAAATGAGATCCTGGCTACGCCCATGCGTATGTTTGTGGTCAGGTGGAGGGGTACTGGTGTAGGCATATGCAAAATTGATCAATTTGCCTGCTCGCCTGTGGTGTCTCGGGCTTTGACAGGGTTGCCAATGCAGGCCAAAATATAATTTATGTCAACCACAATGGCATAGAGAAACAACAACAACAACATCAACAACAGCAGCAACAGCACTGTTCATTAAACTGTCAGTGCATGGCGACCAGTAAGGCGCCTTAATTGTGTTACATTTACCAGCCGGCTCCGTCATAATTCCAGTTTTTGGGTCCGAGCTCCGAGCAATTGAATTGCGACAGCACTTGCACGGATTTAAGCAGTGATTGGCTTTAATCAGCAGGCAGTTAAAGCGCTTAACCGATACTCCATTGCAGATGGTAATATCGAAAGTGCAGTTCTGAAATGTGCAAAGTACGTATTTTCCTGATTTTCATAACAGATAACAGCTCAACAATAAAAAACTGAATATATTATTTATATTAATATCATTGTAGAAATTCTTGAATACCCCAATTTTTTTTAGTGATCACTTTTTGGTGCTACTTTGTTGGAAATATTATTAATTTTTCGAAACAAAATGCATCTCAGAGCAATTAGTTTTGTTTTGCTAAATATAAATTTATTTACTTAATTGAAGAACAGGATAGGCAGAAGGAGGCGTCAGAGACCCCACAAAGTAAATATATTCTTGATCAACACGACAAGACGACTCGCTCTATGTCTGTCTGTCCGTCTGTATGATCACCTCATCTCACAAGTGTTTTATTTCTTTGATATTTGATATTTTGGTTGTGGAATAGAATATATAAAGTAGCCTGAAATAGATTGCAAATATTTGAACGTATTCGATTCTTAAATTTCAAAACTATCTGCATTTTAAAAACATTATTAAAGTCAGCATTTATTCAAAGATAACTGCCGTGATTTTCAAATACGGCTGGGTATGCATGTTCGGGTTTAATATTAGCCACAAGTAATTATTTCGCATTGTCGATTCGTTCTCTTTTCAATGCGTCCTTGCAGGCAGCGCACGATACTCATATGCTCCTACGTATACATATCCTTGCCCCAGAAAGCCCCCCCTCTCCCCCCTATTGCCTGACTCCAATCGCATTCAATTGTATGATTGTCTATGTGTGTGTAAATGTTTATTCTTCAATATCCATAATTGAAATAACTGCCGTTTTGTGTTCTGTGTTCATTGTAATCGCATTAAGAATGTTAAGTTAACGTTCGAAGCATTATCCTGTGTCTCCGAGGAAGACACTCATAACAATAACACCGCACAGAACTGGCGCTTTTTAAATAACTAAGTCAATACACTTATCTGCTATATACGCAGATATCGGAGAGAAAAGTAAGAACATTAAGGAGAATTTTAAAAATTAAAATAAGAAATAAATGAGGAAACAAAAAACGAATTAAAACTGTTACTCTTCAAGTCCTGAAACTGATTTGGAGTAAAGCGTTGGAACTTTTTTGACATGACATAAAATATTTTGAAGCAACAATTTTTTATTCAAAACTAGTCTGAAGCAGTAATAAATATGTACATATGTATATGCATATGCTTTGAAAAATATGATCCTATTTTAGAGGAACCGGTTTCACACTCGAAATGCAAAAGGTTACATTATAATGTTTATTAATCTAGACATGACTGTCCACACTAGACTATCCGTCCGCCTGTTCGACTGTATGAACTCCGATAACTTTTAAACTATAACAGCTAGACACACCAATCTCGACATTTACAAATGTTTGGTAGAACAAAGTTTATTTGAGTAGAGAAGCAGTAGCGAGCAAAAGATTAGACATATGGAGGGTGTTCAAGCGGCTTGTATGTTCTACCCGCTATTTTCTGAAGTACGCCATTAGTGATATTTTTCTTTTTGGTGTACTTTTCTGTGCCTTAATTAACACACACACTCACACACCTTCCTTCTCGCGTAAACACACATGTGTGTTTGCAGAGTATGTATATTTATTTCATAGAACAAGGCTCTGGCAGCATAATCCGCACAACGACTGTCTGTCCGTCCGTCGTCTGTTCGACCGCCCAGCTCTATGCAATTGCATAATTCATTTTACCAAATGACACTTCAGCTGGCATCAATTGCGCACACATACACAAACTCATATACACACACATCTTTGGGTGTTGCTGCTTGGAACATTTTAAAGTGTAATTCAGAAAGAAAAATTCTAGAATATACCGTTAACCAATTTTTAACCGCTCTGCACTTGTTACGAAGAATTAAGAGACCTTTCTCCGGCAGTAGAGATTGAAGAAAGAGCGAAGTGATCTTCGATCTATTCATTCAAAAACAATAATCGATTGACCGATTTGAAAATCTTACATTAGAAACAGTTTTAATAAATTTCCGTTTAAAGGTAGCCTTTGTTAATTTTAGTTGCCTTTTTCAAATAAAAGAAAACCAACTATTTAACATTTAGAATTAAACATCATTGTGTGCGTTTTGTTTGCTTATCTATTAAATGTTGCGTTCGGTAATTGATTTTAATTTAAATAGAAGACGAAAAGGGGAGAGTCTCCTTTCAGTTATGGTTAATAGAGATAAAGATGGTGAATAGGGATTCTTTTTAATTTTCCTTATTACTATACAGAAATAGTCTTCCATTACAAAAAAATATATCTTCGGGCGCCTAAAGGGTTTTTTAAAACTTCAATTAACAAGTAAGTTGGGGATCCTTTCTATCATCCCTTCACAAAAATAAAATAAAATAAAAACAAATTAAGCAATTGGTTAGACTAGTTAGAAATTTGAAGGACTTCACAGGCAATCTACACGGTTTCATTTAAGTATGATAATTTGGAAAAATGTATAAATTTTTAGAATACCTGATTTGTGTTACATGTGTGTCTTCCAAACGTAAGCAGGCAGAAGAATTGCTCTATTAAATAGTTCACACAAGGTCTGTTGAGAGCTGATTACTGCAGATCTTTCCCAGCTGCCTTTTTCTAGATGTCTTCTCTCGCTTCTAGATCCTGCACAAATTTCACTCTTGCATTTCTTTTTTTAAACCAGAGTCCAGCCCTATCACAAATGTCGCTTCATTTCCACCTTCTCGCTTACAACATAGAAGAAAATCCGTTTCATCCATATTATAATTGTATTATTGATAGATTGGTATCCCATTGATTCAGGTTGTTCTTCGCATTTTCTTCGCACATTGAAATTTGGTTGATTGTTGCTAGCTTGGATTCTTCCCCGGAATATTCGATGTCTTTTATCGCTTCCAAAGCTCGCTCTTCAACTTATGTACTAGCTCTGTCAAATGATGTTTCGTTTTCACCATCTCGCTCCCAACTTGGAAGAAAATCCACATCTCCTTGAACAGTTCTCATTAAGAATGAACAAAAGTATATATTCCAAAGATTCATAGATTACGAGTACGGGTGTATCGATATGTATATAAATGCCTATTTACAGTTACATATACACACATTAATGTATGTGTGTTAACAAAGTATATATAAAGTGAAAACCTCATCACTTGGCACCATATCACTAATCAATTTCGAGCGCCTTCAAGCTTTGGGTTACGTCTTTGCTTTTGCTGCCATTCATCATCTTTTTGCTCTTATTGAGTTGCCAGTTGTTAGCATCCATCAGATACTCGCTAATGGGTAAGAGAAAAGAGAGCAAAGCTCAGCGAACTGTCCAACTGGATAGAGAAGTTTGTGTCGACCACAACTTACCGCTGATCTGCCAACTGCTGCATCCACTGCTGCTTGAGGTCAGCCATACGGCCCGCCTCCCCGCCATACTCTGTGGGCAGCATGGCGCGGGGAAAATGCTTGTAGGGTGTGTCCGCATTGGGTAAATGGAAGTGTATCTGAACAGAAAGCGGATAAAGGTATAGAATGTTAACTGATTGATAATATTCGCTGCAATTGCAAAAAAAACAACAAGATTCAAATTGTTTGAAGTTCTAGTTCATAAGCCACTTTGTTTTCGGACTTTGCGTTTATAACTTACTAAGCGATTGACCCCATAGTGGGGGGAACTATTTTCTTAAGATTGAAAATGTTTTTAGACTAGTGTTAATTTTTTTATGACAACACATTTTGATATTCTAGATAAAAATGTGTAAAATAAACTATCAATAAAAAGTTGAAAGCACTATATCGAATTGTTAAAATATCGTTTGATATTTTCAAAAGTTGGAAATAACATAAATAACAAGATTGGTTAAAAAATAATATCAAAATTATTTACAACGATGATAATAGGTTGAATGTATAATAGATTAGCTTATGATGATTGATGCGAACTACATAGTCCTGAGAATCCCATTGTGATGCCAAAGGTCTGCTTTCAGCCACTTGGCACTTCTTTAGATGTCGGTTTTTTGGTATCTCCATGAGATCGCTTAGAAAAGGTTGCCCTAGAGCTACGAACCTTCACCAGAGAAGATGGTCTACGCTTTTCTCCTCTTTCTCATCTCTACAGCTTCTGCAGCAGTCATAGAAATGTAAACTGCAATGCTTTTTACTTTGAAAAGGATTGGGGAAAAAACCAATTTCTTTTAAGCCGTTAGCATTGCTCTCTTATAAAAGCTCTGGCCTTTGCTGCTTAAAAAATCGGCTAATCGATTATTCATCCAGAAAATAAAGCTATTATCACTTGCCGCCTAGTCCGGTCTTCCTGAGGAAGTTCTTGAGATTCCGATTGACAGTAGAGACCCGAGTTCAGGATTTGGTTTTATGGAAGCAGGTCTTGATAGATGATTTCTCTTTCAAAAACGATATGTTTGCTTTCGACGAAACTGCTTTGCACTGCTTACCACTCAACACACTGAATACTGCTTGTTTATGGCCATGGTTTAAAGCTCGCACGGCAAGAAAAGAAAATTCATAAAGCGGAAAAAATATCGAAGCCATCCAATTTCGTCATAATTTTAAAAGTTTAACCCCTACCCACGAGTATCTAAATTGTATTTAAATTGAACTTAGTATTTAGGAACTGTGTAAAGTTCTTAATGTGCAAAAAGAAAAAATGAAAACACTTTTCTCAAATATTGATTGGTCATCATAAAAATATTTCCCCTCATACATTTATACTCGACATGTCTGGCTTCAATGTTTGAGTAATTATATATATACTATATACAAATACTATACATATATATTAAATGATTGTAACGTGACAACAAATAATAAATACACTCAGAAAAAAACAAGCGTTTTCGTTCTAAAAGCAAATGGCAATCAGCAATCCATTCCACCGTTTGCTCAACTGTTCGACTGTATGAACGTCGAGCTCTACTGAACCAAAACTGCTGAGGACACCACATCTTTTATGTGGACTTGTCTTATGTATACGCAGAAATAGTTTATTAAAAACCATACACAGTCCCATTGTTTGTTAAGAGTCTTTAGAAACAATAGTATTTTAAAGACTTTTTGTACCATAACACAATGTGAAGTTTTATCAAAATGTTTTATTCCAATGTTTTATTGAAGTGTGTAAAGCAGGAGGAAGAATCCACCCACTAGTGGCAATTAGTAATAAGTTATCGTTACTTACCAGCTTGAAGACATCGCTCTTGATGAAGGGCTTAACCACTGTGAGCACTTTGTCCAAATAGGATGGACAATTGAGAACGTGCACCTCCTTGAGACGGACCGGGTGGGCCTCCTGTACGAACTTCATGTAGACGCGCAGCGAACTGAGCACTGTTTTGGTCAGATGACGTAACGTATAGCCGGCCATATCGAAAATGGGTATTTCGCCTTCGGAGAGACGATCGTCGCTCTCCAAGGCGAATCGACAATCGGCGACCATGAAGAAGACCTTAATGCCGGCTGTAAAATTGAACTGAGTGCGAACGAATCAATGCTAAGTGAAGCCCCCATCCAGCCATTGTCTATACTACTGGGCATACCTTATCCGCATCGGAGTCGATCAGACGATAAAAGAGTAGCTTATTGTTCTCGGGCGTCAGGCCGGGCAATGGCACCAAATCGCTGCAACAACAAAAGCAATAAAAATAATAGTAACGCTTAACAAGAGAGAGTGCTACAGTCGTGCAAGCCCGACAGTGGAATACTCTGTAGCTAGGTGAAATTCCGCCTCTTTTGCTTCAAAAGGAAGAAGAAGAGCAAACTTGATGGTACAGCTTGTGAGCGTAGTACCGGAGTGAAATTGTTTCGCTAATAACTTCTCTTAGAACCAACCGATTTAGATGAAATTTGTAACAAAAGTAGATAATTACATATCAATTATGTGTGCAAAGTTTGCTTTTGAAATCTGGACGGAAATTCTGTAGCGGGGGAAGGGGGGAAAAGTTCCAAAAAAATAAAATAAACTCGTGTAGCCTAGGGAGTAGGAGCGTCTACATACCAAGTTTGGTTAATGTGCGCTCAACCGTTCCCGAAATCCAGGCGTTCATCCAGACGGACGGACAAACGAACGGACGGACCGACATGCCTAGATCGATTTATCTCGTCATGCTGATTCAGAATATATATACTTTATGGGGTCGGAGATGCTTCCTTCTGCATGTTACATACTTTGCACAAACCTAATATACCCTTTTTACCCTACGGGTACAGGGTATAAAAATCGGTTAGCAAACATATCCACGTCCACCCCATCACTTACGCTACTTGCAACAATTGCTGGGAGCTCGCATCCAGCGGATCGCGTTCGATGAAGATCTGTGAATGTTTGTTGCGCAGCGCATAGTTTAGTTCCAAAAGCCTTTGTGCTCCCCCGATATCGCCATGCGTCGTGTGCAGAAATCGTCTCAGTAAGGTGGGCGCTGCAATTGGAAAAAAGCACTCAGAAAGAAATCAGAAAATCGTCCTTTAAGTTGTTTTTAAACTACTGTAGAATCTCTTGCATCAAAGCCATTCAACTTAAATAAGCTTCGTTTTAGTAATCCTTTAAGTTAAGGTGATCCTTTACTATATAAATGACTTGTACAGACTTATATCAGATTTGATAATAATATTGAAATAAACAAAAAAGCTTTTGCAAGGATTTTGACAAAACTTCAAGATATCATAAAGCACTACAGAAAACTCCTAACTATTTAATGAATTTAAGATAATCTTTCACACAAGCACGTTTTCAAACTTAGAGTGTTTTCAGCACTGATCAGTGCTATGATAGCTTTATAAAATAATGTCGGTATAAATTTGCTCTACATATAAGTCTCTACATAAGTCAAGTCTACAAACAATTTTGGAGTGCCTAGCTGTTAGAGTTGAAATGTTATTGTTGTTCTTACAGTCGAACAGATGGACAGACTGAGAGTTGGAACGGTCTCTTCATAATGCTAGTGGCTTTAAAACTCACTCCAGCACTCGATTGTCTATTAACTTTGTAATTAAATTATTTTTGCCTTCATTTACATTTCTCCTCTCAATATTTGCCAGAATGTTTGTTTTAACTGCACCTGCTTGACGATTCTTTCTGCTGAAAGCCAGAAATGGGCAACAACAAAAACATTGAAGACCATTCACTTCAAACTTGCTGGAAATGTTTCTTTTTTCTGAGTGTAGTGATTCATAAAGTGAGGGATGAATGGAAAGGCAATTGCAAGTCGTAGTCGATGTTATGTAAGACATCGTTGCACTCTGTGCAATGGGAAAGTACAGATAGTTCAGGCGATTCAACATCGTGTTGTTGCCCGCCCCGATAGGCAAGGTGCAGTAAACCATTCGTATGTGGAAATTGCGAATAGTGTGTGGCAGAAAAGCTGTTTACTTATCCTCGAAACTTCAATTATTCAATAGTTTTGTATAATGTATTGCATTATTAAAATATTTCGTACTTTGAAGTGCTATTTTATTCAAACATTAAGGGTGTGCATATATTTTTTTATAATACGTAGTACTACCTAGTTTTGTAATTGATGTAGGAGTACTATTAACTAGGAAATTATAATTATATTTGTTGATTTCAAATAATACTTATGTTTGTATCAATCGACTACATAATTAAAAGAATGCAAGCATTTCACAAGGAGCGCTATAAAAAAATTGGCCCTAAAGATAACATTCTTCACTCTCTAGTTTAAAGAGCAAAAGCTGGTAACTCTTAATATATATTTTCTATGCTTTCTTACTCGTTAGTTTCTGCTAAGTATATAACAAGCGAAAGAACGCATTTCTAGTTTATATATGTACTAGATACTGTCCAAAAAAAACAAAGCTATATAAGCTACCCTCAGTTAAATTTTCAACCAAATCAGTCAGATCTAAAAAAATTGAGGCTCTTCTTCTCTTTTAACAACTCATACAAGTGTTTTTTGATTACAGGGTATTTCATATTCTGTCTTGTTTTGAGCCGAACACTGTGCTACATGCAAAGCATCCTAAGCATAGACCCCATTGTCTTACTCGTAAGCTGTGGAAAATTTGGCCCTGAAATGGGTAGTTGAAAAATGTATCACGAAATTGTTCTTATCGAGCACAGCTTTGCATACAAATGCTGCTTCTACCTACAAAAGAGTAAAGCAAATGAGTTTTGAAAAAAATAGAACAGCACAGTGGAGCGCACTGGCACATGAAAAAACAAATTAAAAGGGTGCTCTATCTATCTATAGCAGAGCATTAACAAATTATTTGTTGACAATGTTATATAAACAACTTTTTCATGATTCTTAAAAAAACCCTTCGACTTTCTTTAATTCATTGAAATGGGAGGGTTATTTTATTTCATCTCCAAACGTTTTAAACTTTCAAGAACTCCAAGGGCTGGTAAAAAAAATATATATATACTTGTATATATTAAGGTAATATATGGTTTGCAAAAAACTTGCTCTGCCTATGGATGAGAAAAGTCTAAATACCAAGTTTGCAGTCCCTAGGTTTTATAGTTCAGCAGAGCTTGACGTTCACACAGTCAACCAAATGATCAGACGAACACATCTTTATCGACCTGTTTCGTCAAATTGGTCATACTTGTATGTATATGAACCTGTCTGGAAATTGGAAATTGCATTGAAAATTGTATGTCATTGCCGAATTCTGAATCCAGTTTGGCAGTGCGTATCCAGTTTTGATTTAATTGAAATACCTCGATAACATTGCCATTACATATACTTGTACTTACATATATTCTGCGGCAACTGTGGGTGTGTCTTAAGCCAGACTTGCAGCTCCAAGACGAGACTTGCGAATTCTTCGTCAACGGTTTTGTGCACCATAATGCAAACAAAAAAAAAAAAACAAAATGGAAATGTTCACAACAAACACACACTCCCAACGACAACAACAAATACAACAATAATAATAGCAATGGTCACGACAACAGGAAATCTGGGGGCCCAGTTAACTGAATTCGTCGCGGAGCACAACAAAATAAAAGCGCGTCTGTGCGACGCTAATTCGCGACTGCAACTGATTGGTGTGTGAAGTCGTAGTTGCGGATCAGGTCGATGGAATCGCGCAAAAAACAAAACACAAACAAAAATTTTACCTACACATACTATACTATTGTGGGGCGCTGGAGGGCTCTGTCGTTGTTGTTGTTGCTGCTGATGTTGCTGCTGCTGCTGTCACGACGACAACAACAGCAACACCGGCAGCAGCAGCAACATCAGCAGCAACACAACTGCGGCTTCAAAGTTGAAGTATGTATTGCACTCGCTACACCGCATGACCGGCTGATTATAAATGCTTAAATACATACATACATATATATATGTAGTGTATATACATATGTGTGCATGTGTGTGTGTGTGCAACGCAGACGGCTTGGCTTTTCATTTAGGCGCGCGGGCCTTTTGATTTTCGACCCGACAAGTTGCACAGTGGCTGAGAACTGTTATCCAACGGCCAGAAGCTCTTTAATTTGCAATCGCAATCGTAAACAAGCAATCGGGAAAATAATGTTATTACTTCGATTAAGATGGCCGTTTTCTCTTTTTTCTTTGTGAATTCAAGCTGCATTTTTACCTGCGATTATGATTTTGTTGTGGGAAAATATCGTAAAAGTGCAATATTTATTCCAATCAGTTTTCCAGAGACTAATCAATTTATGATCACAAATCTTGTGATTTGTTGAATACGCCTAATGATTGGAGAAGCTATTATAAGCTACGTCTTCTACTTGTATTACTTCGATCGGTGCAGAGTTGAACCTTAACAGTTAAGAACAACAAAGATTATTGAAGGGAACAAATATGGGAAAATATCAGGTTTTACATCATGTCTACAGTAAAGAGTGATGAACATTTTAGAGTTCTTAAACGTGTTTATACCCATTGGAAAGAAATGCGCCTCTTTTCTTCCTTCATCACTTTACATTAATTATCAATGAAAGTTCTGAAGCTGTTCAAGGTACTCTAAATTGATCATAAAGGATTTTGAAAAAAAAACATTGAGTAAGAAACAAAGCAAAAATAAGTTTTAAATACTTGTTGACTCATTTGTACCCAAATTGTGTGTTGAATTTTCCAAAAGTTCTTCTTAATGCAAATCAGGCAAAGTGGAGCGAGTGAAATACAATATCGGTTAAATACTATATATTACTTCTTTCGATGCACAGTTACGCTTTCAGAAAACGTCGCTAGTCGTATTAAAACAAAAGATGAAGCATTAGTAGACCTGAAGGCTTTTCCTTTAATTTCTTAGTATGCGTTGGGGCCAAAGGACAACAAAGTTTGTTTTTGGTATGACAAGTATTAGATATAGTTGATGGATGCATTTAACAAAACTTATAAACACCAAATTAGTTTCCGATATCTTAGCAAAGAAACAAAAATTGATTTTAACACCGATCTGTTATAAATATTATAATGATATAAATGGCTTATAAGAAATTTAACTTGCCTATGCATTGTATTTGTAATCAATATTTGATACTATCCACAAATGCATTACATTTCTTGATTTCGAATTTCTTGGAATTCTGTTTCAAAGCCCATAAAAAAAAGTTGAAATGCGCACAAAGTCCAGGATTATTTTTGTTCTTTTTTATTCACGTGGTAATAATTTCATTGTTTGTTTCGTTTAATCTTTCAATATAGTATAAAGATTAGATGTAGCCAATCGCCCGGCTAATATATAAATGTTCGATAACGATGTTTTAATAAGAAATATTAATCGATTAGAATTAAGAGATAACGGATATGATACATTCATGCAAAGGAAGAAGAAGAAAGACAGAAAAGAAAAGAAAAATGATATTAGATTAGTATCAAATAATACCACAAGCTTCCGATACTTTTTGTATGTAAATGCTAGGCATAGAGATGATTACCTAATTAGACCAAGCTGGGTGTTTGAATACTATTTATGGGAACACCATGGTTCCCATGTTAAATCAAAGTAGAGAGCTGAAAAAATAGGTCCTCAATTTCGTAGCGCTGTTCTTTTATGCTGCTGGTACGAGCAAATAATTTGCGCACAAGTTCGTCAAATCGTTCGAGCAGTCCATAAAAAATAAGTTCTATAACAGGTTTGTTGTAGCTGCTGTTTGTTTATAAATTCTTGTTGGTTTTCCGTTTTTTTTTTTTTTTTTGTTTGTTCAGCTAAAATAATTTTCATGACACACTTTCGAAATTCAACCAATTAGTGTGCACAAAATTTGTATGTCTGACTGTAACGATTGTTTATATATATAGTATCTGTAGACTATACTGCGCTCAATTAGAGTGCTTCTGCAATTCTGCAAGGTATTCCCAGCAGAAAAACACATGATTTTCGATCATGGTTTGTGGATTGTTGATGGCCCTTCAACGACATACAAATTGGATTCTGTTTCATTTCAAGAGAGAAATTTAAGGATCAGTCGATATAGTCGTGCCCGTTTGTACACGCGAAAGTACTTGTATAAAGTAAGAGAAGCAATAGCCAAATTTTGTATACGTATTTCTGTCATCTTTTTCTGAAGAACTTCCCCTACTCTCCCCCGTCTAATAGTGATTATTCACAACTCCCGTAATTCTTTATCAACTCTTGCATTTCATTCTTGTTCTTCCATTCCTTAAGCTATTTTATTTATTTGAAATATGAACAGTTTTGAACTAAATGGTGTATCTAAGTTTTAATCAATCTTAATCTTTAATCTGTACAGTTTTTGAATTAAAGTTTTTGTAATGCAAAAGTTTTTTATTTTCGATTATATTTCATTTTTTAAATTCAACTTTGTTATTTCACATTTATTTTTCCAACTTTTCTTTCAAACCCTAGGTATTAAATGAGCAAAATTTTTACAATTCAGCTGCTTAAGTAGCATGTCTTTTTGGTTGAGGATCCTAAAACAAATATTTTGAAATGAAAAGTAAATTTTGTAAATATTTGCTAATTTAAAAGCACATGCCCAACCTGTAAAACCTTGCAAATGAAAGTGCTAGGGAACCACTGTGCGACGCGTCGCGCCATTTACGTAACCACCCGCTCAACGTTGTTGTTGTCCAGTTTTGCCAGTTTTGTGTGTCAGAAGGTCAGCTATATCGGGTCAGTTCAACAGCTTGTTCTATAAGCCATGCACGTGCGACGCACCCACACATGCCCCTTCCCTGCCCCGCCCCATCCCCGAAAAAATGCAGCAACTTCTTTTCACGCATGATTACAACGTTTGGCGTTGGTGGTTCCAGTTTTTTTTTTTTTTTTGGCTTTATCGCGACATTGACAAACACACACTTTTTTTGGGGCCGGCTAGCTGGCGAGTCGAAGTCGAAGTCGCGCTCCACTTGTTATGTGCCGCGAATGACGGACGCGGACGCTACGTGTTTCGCAAGTTAAACTATATACGAGTATGTATACATACATACATATATTGGAAGAAACAAAACTAGCATAACAACAGCCACAGCGCCAACAATAACAACAACCACAAAATGGTTAACTTAAATTAAAACAAAACTGTCAAAAAGCAGAAGAAGAAGAAGATGATGATGATGATGACGAAGAAGCAGCAACAATAACCGCCCATGCGGCAAAAGCGAAGCAAAGAGAGAGCCGAACGCGTTGAAGACCAAATCGACGACAACTTTGTTGTGCAGAACGCGTAATGAAAACTAACCAATTGTGTAAGTCCTATCGACTAGTGTATACCCTGCCAGAAAATAGTAAGCAGAACTTTAAAGTCTTCCCCACTAAATGAAACGTTGATGTACTAATTTTTGCTATGACTATATGTTATAGTGTGCCGATTTCGATGAAACATTAGAATACAGTAAGGCACTAGAACATATCTATGCAAATAGGCAAGCTAGTCTACTAAGACTGGTTTTTATGCCGATCGTTCCTATGACAGCTATATGGTTTCTAATACACTTGCTCTGCGTATGGAGAAGACAAGTCTACATACAAAGTTTATTGTCCCTAGTTATGGATCTGCAGAGTTCGACAACGAGACAGTCGAACCGATGACCGGAAAATAATGTTTTTTCAATGAAAATTTCGTAAGATGATGATATGACTGGAGATGCGCTTAGGTTTGTTTGTAGTTTCTGGATTACATGATTGGGCAGAAAGAATATTCTATCCTTCTAAAAAACAAAAGAAAAGTGAATTAAATAGACAATAAATAAATAATGCAAAAAAAAACCAGATAAACAAATTAACCAACAAACACAACAACAAACGAACAAACAAGCAGAGAGACAAATGGACATAGAGGTAGAAAAATAAATAAACAAGCAAACCAAGAAAAAGTCAGATTAACAGGAATACACTCAAAGAAATAAGTAAACTAGCAGAAACAAACAAATTAGCAGAGAGATAGACAGAGAAACAAACAGCCAAAGACAGAAAGACAGACAGGCAAGCGGACAGACGTTCATTTGTGTGTAAATACATACAAGTATATAGAAAAGAGGGGAATCTTAGAATTTCTTAATATATATACTTGTATGCCTTCTGGAACGCAATGCTTAAAAAAAACAGTGTCTCTGATTTCATCGACTGTTTCTAATTACATGCAAGCGTGCTAACTACTATATAGTAATTCCACTGAGTCAGAAGAAAATCGCCAAAAACTCGATAACACACAGACTTTAAAAACGACATGTACGTCCAAAAAACCTTCTGAGTGCAGGGTGTTCGAGTACGTACAATAAAAGCCATACAAATTAAAAAGCGCCAACAGCAACTAAAACAAAGACAACGTACAGACTTGGTCTTGGACTTGGCTTTTGCCCATTTTTTGTACGCAGCAGTTTTGGGCCCTCACTCTCAAATGTCAAATGTCTGCCAAGGGCCCAGCCAGTCATATTTCCATATTATTTAGCGCAAATTGTGTGGCCAATAAAATTGTCGCACTTACTCGTAAAAGCGCACGCAGATGCAAAAAGCAAACCCAATGTAGCCAACAACTCAAATG